GGATCAGCGGGCGCGAGTGTAGTGAGATGTAGAGGCCGGCGCTTCACGGGATGGAAAACACTCGAACGGCAAACTTCCGTCGCGTGGGTAGCGAGCGAGCGAGCGGGCGGGACTGGAGGTTCTGCTGGAGCGCAACCGGGGTAGGCCAACAGTCAAAAGTGCCTTTTGGCGGGCGGGAAGCGATGGTCGTGAGTGTGCTCGCACGTACGTCCGGGTCGCAGAGCGAGATGAGCCACTGGTGTGGAGCTTCCGTGCGGCTGTGTCGAAAGCGATGACGGCCCGCAAGGGTAACGAGACGCGCAGGAGGAAAACGAGTCGAGCTGAGAGTCAATGGAGCTGTGCTTGCAAATCACTACGGTGATGATGAGAATGATGGTGGCGGTGATGCTACAGCAGCTCCTGTCTGTTCACGACGAGTCTTGAGTCCAATCGTGAATCTGCCTACTGTAGAAGGCAGGTCAGGGTCAGAGTAGATGATGGACGCGGTGGCACAAACACGCCATGACTTCCACGGTCCATTCATTCGTCTCAACTTGGCAACCTCGCTGAACGAGGTGCTGCGCGTGGATCAATTTGTGAACCCCTACTGCATGGCCGCGCGGGCGACAGCATCGCTCGGGTCGTCGGTATGCATGCCAAACGGCGCGCATGACCGACCCCTTCCTGCTGCACACCGCGTCTGCTGCTGCGTGCATGCAGCACGGTCTGTCCTTTTGGGGAGGGCAAAGCGCAAAAGGACGATGCCAAGCCCAACTTCAGGCGTACGACGCAAAAATCGTGAATTTGAATGCCAATCAACAATCGTGAATAGCGGCCCCTTGACTCACTCAACTTTTGACTCGTTGTGAAATTTAAATGTAAATATTGACGCTTAAAGTGACCCTTCCCTGCTGAATCTCAAACCAGCATTCTCAACAGTCGAGAGAGTTGAGTGATTCATATTCAAGAGACAAAATGATTTGAAATCCCCCATGCGACCGGTCGGCGGAACTCCGTACGTGCGATTCACGATAAATGCTGATGCTTGCTTCGAAACCTTCAAGTTCCGAATTCTAGCCTCAAATGTCCGATCACAGGATCTTGAATCAAATTCAAATTCAAGGTCGAGAGCTTCTGATCCAAGATCGAGCGCCAGGGAGCTGATCTAGACTCTTGACTTTGAAGATACCAAATGACCGTTTACTGGCTCAGAGCTTGAAGGTCA